ACATGGGAGTCCAGCGACATAGCCAATTGCGCTAACTGCTGGTCCTGTTTGCTTTTTTTTTTTTAAACCAGGGCGCCAGACAGTAGCGCAATGGCATCACAACCCTTTGCAAGGTTTATTCACATGGGAAGGTTCCAAGTTGAAACGCTGTGACCTCCTAAACATAAAGGGCATGAGCATGCTCATGATCTGGGATTGGCCAAAGCCAGGGGTAGATCACAGCAGGAAACCTTATTGGAAGTACCTCTCTCTCCCACTCACTGATGAAAAAAATCATTAAGCTTAAAAAACAATTAACAAACTCAAAATACACTAAATTATATCATCCTTTAATCAAGTAAGGAAAAGGCAAGATGTATCATTCATTCTTTGTTTCCCAGTACCAAGCATTCGGCAAACACTCAACAACTATTTTCTGAAAGAATAAGAAATGCACTTGAGTACAAAGAAGATTCTTTTAAAGCTTGAATGAATAACCTCATTCCTATAATAGATATTAAGAAACATGAAGGTATAGGACAAAATGATTACATCATGACATTTTTAAAAGAGGGTATCACTATATTGCCCAAGCTGGCCTTGAACTCATACTCCTGCTTCAGCATCCTGAATAGCTGGGATTACATATGTGCACCACTGCACCCAGCTACCTGTCCCTTTTTGACAATGCAGAGAACAACATAAAAGCCAGAGTTGCAACTATAGATAGCAATAAAACTGGACTTTCTCATCTTTAAGATAATATACTAAAGTTGCTTGGGGAAAAACAAAACACAAACAGTGGTGCCTTCTACACAGTATTTTACCTATTTAACAGTCTTCCGCTAGACTCTATTACTTCTAGGTCTTATATGGCTCTGTTTTCTCCCTCAATGTCTAATAGCGTTTTTCAAAGGACAAAAACAGAAACAGAATCTTTACTTTTAGTAATGCCAAGAATTTGGAAGCTTTTGAAAAGTACTCAATAAATGTTTAAAGAATGAAAGGATGACTGAAAAGAGGCTACATAAAGATAATTTTTGATAAATGATACATTTAGCAAAGCTTAGTCACCTTATTTTAAAATGGTTACCTAATTACTAATGAATTTTTTACCATTTACACATATTTGAAGGGAAATCACTGGGATTTCTCTTTTAGCCAGTCTTAAAAGTCATAAAAAGCCATAGAGCACAGAAGAACACTATGAAGACAGAGTGGTATTTAATTACATACAACCTTATATTCTCAACAAGTGAGAAAAGCTTTTTTAAAAAAGCTCCAATTAGGGACCAGCAGTTGGCGTAATGGTTATGTCGCTGGACTCCCATGTAGTCGACCGCAATTCAAGTTCTGGACCCAGTGGCTTAAACTCACGCCGAGCTCGTGTGCGTGTATGCCCAAGATCCCAAGAGGAGAATGGAGGAGAAGGGATTGCGGCGTGACCATCCCCTCTGGAGGGTGATTTCTCACTTTCTGTCTCTCTGTCTCTCTCTGTCTGGCGAGCGCATGCACCCTATAGTGAAAAACCTCTCCAAAAAAAAAAGCTCCAATTAATCTGAGACAAAAGTAAAATGTTTGAGTCTTAATTTCAAAAAATGACTTCAATTACTAATTACTAATTTTTAACCAAGTTAAGAAAAATTATATATACTGGGGCTGGCAGGTGGCATGGTGGTTAAAGGCGCTGGATTCCCACATGGCCAACCATGGTTCAAGTCCTGGACCTGGGGTCTTGCTTTTTCTCTCTCTCTGACTCTCTTCCTTCTCTCACTCTGTCACTTTCTGATCAAATTTTAAAAAACTAAACAAATAAATAAATAAAATTAAATAAAGTAGTTCTTTTTTTAAAAAAAAAAGAAAGATTATATATACAACTGAGAAACTGCAGGAACTTTCATTTTATTTTCTAATATCAGACTAAATGGAAAAGTGACTACACAGACTCTTCAAAAAGTTCATGGAGAATGTGTATGAAAAAACTATGAATGAATTTCACACTTTCTTGCACTAAAATAAGCTCATACTTTAAGTTCATTTTTTTTCTATGACCTTTTTAAAGTAGTCTCAAATCTTTGAAATTGTGGTAAATCTTACTAAAGAAAGTACATGAGGAAAAATCTGTAGAAAAACAGTGCAATTTAGAAGGAATCATTTCACTAAGAGAGATGACAAAGCAACTACAACAGTTTAGAATAGAAAAATATTTTAAAATTTTCCAATTTTAACTGTCTTTTTATCAATAATATCTAGATAAATAGCTATTTCTTATTTTTTATTTTTTAGTAAGTAGGCTTGTAGCTGCCAAAACTTTTGCCTTAACTTTCTATATTCTAAGAATCCTGGGACATAGTGGTTAAGCTTCAGGCTCCCATGGGTAGACTGCAGTTTGAGTCCCACAGCTGGCAGCTTGCTTTCTCTCTCTTTCTCTCTCTCTGTATCTCTCTTGGTGAGTGCATGTGTTCTGTAGCAGATTAAAAAAAATTTTCATAAAAATATGTATGATTTACATACACATACACACACACACAATCACAACAAAAAGTAACACTAGGAAGTTTCCAGAGAAAAATCTCTCTGAGGTAGGAAGATATTAAAAAAGGGTCTATAATTTAAGTAAAACACCAACTAATATAGATGACTATTACTAAAGAATATCAAAAGGACTAAGCAGAGATGGGAGATTTATGACCAATACCTAGGATTAATGTGCTCTAGAAACTACACACTTTAATATAAACTATTTCCCCTGCTAGTATAAATAATTTATTTAAAATGAATCAAGTTACTGTTTTTCGATTATTAAGTATCTTTTTATCTTAAAATCCAGTTATATACATTATAATTTTTAAATGACTATGTTTAAACAAATATTTATCAAATAAAGAAAAAACCTTCATGTTTTGTGTTCATAATTGTGTTCATAACAATTTTTCCTTCTATTAAAGGAAAACATACTACCTGATTTTTGTCTAAAAATTACTATTTTCTGGGAAATAGCAGATAGTGTAATGGTTATGCTGCTGGACTCTCACATAGTGAACTATGGTTCGAGTCCTGGACTCAGTGGCTTCAAACTCACACTGGGCACATGTGCGTGCCTGCCCAAAATCCCAAGAGGAGAATGGAGAAAAAGGGACTGCAGCATGGCCATACCCTGACCTCAGGAGGGGGTGATTACTTGCTTTCTGTCTCTGTGGCAAGCGCACGTACCTTGTAACAAAAATCTTTCTAAAAATAAAAAAAAAATTAACATTTCCTTTTAGCAGCCATATATAAAAACAATGGCATAAGACATTAAAATAACTGATATTATTGTATAAAGTCTCCCTATAACTTTTCATGCAGTAAAGTTAACTGTGAGTAGCCAATATATTATATTAAACTGTTATTGGCATTTAAAAAAATTCACTATGGTCCTTTTTTTTTAAAGAGAGATTTTTGTTATAGCATACATACACTTGCCAGAGAGACATAAAGACAGAAAGTGAGAAATCACCCCCCAGGGGAGAATGGCCATGCCACAATCCCTTCTCCTCCATTCTCCTCTTGAGATTTTGGACATGCATGCACACGGGCCTGGTGAGAGTTTTAAGCTGCCAGTCTGGGACTCAAACCATGGTCGACTATGTGGGAGTCCAGGGAGGTCACCATTACGCCATCTGCTGGTCCTTCACCAAGGTATTTTTAAAACAATTAGTATTTCATAGGTATCTCCAGCATAAATTTTCTGTCCAATAAATGATATCAAAATTAAAGATGCTATCTTAAAACAAAATACATACATACATACTCATATTTTCTTATGGATACATACAGCAGAAGAAAGCAAAAAACAAAGTATCCTCTGTGATTCCATAAACTAGTTCCTGAGGTACCTTCCTTCATTTTTCATTAAGATAACTATAAATTAGCTACATGAATTAGTCAAGTTAGTATTACATAAACTTCAAAATATTAGAAAAACACTGAACCCTCCAGAGCTTTTATTCAAGCACAGTCTATTCTTTCAAAGCTCAACTGATACTTTTCTTTTTTGTTTTTAAAGAATTACTTATTTATGATTATTATTTTAATTTCACTAGAAAGAGAGAGAAAGTAAGAAAGCAAGCCACCAGGTACAGGATTCAAAGCATGTTCAGCCTTCTGGGAACCCAGCACCTTCACCATGCACCTGCCAGCCCCCATCAACTGATTCTTTTCTAATAATGTACCTCCCAGAAGTCAAATGTTACTGGAGAGTCTTAAATTTATTTAAAATAAAATGTGTCCCATAATGAATAATTTTTTAAAAAAAGGTTCTGTGTGTGTGTGTATGTGTGTGTGTGCATATATATATATGTATATATATATGTGTATATATATATATATAAACTGTTATTTTTTCAACTAATTTATTTCACCTTTTCAATTAAGCTTTAGATTATCTTCAGGAGATTGTGCGAACTTACAGTGTTAGTTGGATCTTCTTGTAAAATTCGATCATATAACTGTATAGCATCATCATACCTGTAAGAAAAAGAAACATCAAGAATTTTACCTAAAAATAGTATTACCTAAAATACAGTAGTAAATAGTAAACCCACAAAAAGATTAAACTGGGTAGGCTTTAAATACATTTATAATTGCTACCCAAGTCTTCCCAGCTATATCTAACAGTAAAAGTTTATTATGTATTTTTAAGAAAAATAAATCATATATAAAGTACTTACAGAAAACTAATTTCAAAAATACACCAATTCAATTTGATCTCAATGCAAAGGTGAAAATTAGCAACAGAGGTTGAAGAGAGCAAGTACAGAATCTGAGGTAGATATGGCAGAACTGTTGTCATTAATGGACTGGGAATTTAAAGAATGATGTACATGTTCATGACTCTAATAGACAAAATGAGTAAGATGCAAAAACAAATGGATAATATAAACCAAAAGATTAAAAACTCCAAAATGGAATCAAAGGAAATGCTACAAATCAAAAATCACTATAACAAAACTAAAGATTGTCCTCGAGGGGCTTATAAGGAGACTCCACATGACACAAGGAAGAATCAAAGAACTTGAGGAAATACCAATAAAATCTCCTAAAATTGAAAATGAAAAGAAAAAAGTGAATATAAAAATGGAACAGAATAACTAAAAAACTGAACAATTATAAAAGGTGCAATGTAAGTGTAATGGGAATGCCAGAAAACAAGACAAAAAGGAACTAAGGAAATGTTTGAAATAATAATTGAAAAATTTCCAAACATTATAGACATAAAACAGATCAGAGAAGCTCTAACATAAAACAGGATAAACATTTTAAAAAATCTTCTATAATAGGCATATCATATTAAACTATATGAAATCAAAGAAAAAGAGAAAATCTTCAAAGAAACCAAGGATAAAAACACCTTATCTATACAGGAGTAAAGATAAGAATTACATCAAACGTCTCTTCAGAAACCATGCAAGAAGAGAGTGAAGTAAAAAATGTGTTTATAGAGAAAATCACCAAATGAAGAATTCTGTTCCAAAAAATGTCCATCAAAAGTGAAGGAGATAGGCCAGTCCCATACCTAGTGGTTAAGGTAGCCAGATCTCATATGCCTGATGGCACAAGTTCCAGTATCTTGAGAAACATGACTGAAAGGTACATATTCATGCCTTAAATCTCAAAAGGATGGAGAAATGGAGAAGGGATTGCATTGTGAACACACCCCATCAGGACCTTTTCCCTTGCTCATTCTTGCTCTCTCTCCCTCTCTTTGTCTCTGGTGAGAGCATGAACCCTCTGGCAATTAAAAAAGTGAGGGGGCAGACATTGTGCCTGATGGTTAAGGCAGTCAGATCCCACATGACTAACTGTATGATTCTGGTCTCAGAACCACTGTCTTGAGTAACATGCCTGGATCATGTGTATTCATGCCCAATATCTGGAAAGAAGGGAGAGATGGAGAAATAGGGATTGCAGTGTGATCAATTCTTATGGGAGGTAGGGAAGCTCTTTTCTTTCTCCCCCCTTTCTTCTGTGTCTTTGTCTCTCTCTAGTGAGCACATGAGTCCCACAGCAAAAAAAAAAAAGAAAAAAAAAAGTGAGGAAAAAATAAGACTCTCAGACAAACAAAAATTGAAGAATTTTACAATAACTAGAACACTGCTTGGCAGTTTCTTACATAATTAAACATATATCTATCCTGCGAACCAGAAATTCCATTCCTAGATATTTATATAATAGGAAAACATTATCTTTTTTAAAACATTAAAAAGAAAACTAAAACCAACCAATTGAAAAATAAGTAAAAGATCTGAGTAGACAATTCATGAACAGTTAATAAGAGTCAATATACACATGAAAAGATGTTCAAAATCTTTAGCCATAAGGGAAATTCAAGTTAAAATGACAATGTGATGTCTCTACCTGTGTACCAAAAGGGCTAAAATGAAAGCCTGGCAGCATTCAAAATTGAGATAAACATGAAGTAACAAAAATCCATGCATAATGCTGATAGGCAGGCAAAATGGTAGTGCTAACTGGAGAAATTGTTGAGCAGTTTCTTAATTAAACTTACACTGGGCATATGACCAAGCAATTATATTCCTAAGTAACCCAAGAGAAATGCTATCATATGAATGCTTTGGTTCCTCCAAAATTTCTGTTGAAACCTAATCCCAAATATGGTAGTACTAAGAAGTAGAATCTTTAATAGAGGATTAAGACATGAGAGGACAATCCTCTTGTGAATGGCATCAGTGTCTTTATAAAAGAGGCTTGAGAGAGACGTCTGTCCCTACAATGTGAAGCTGCAGTGAGAAGGTGTTATTTTGGAAGCAGAGAGTAAGCTCTCTCTACCAGACACAGAATCCACAGGTTTTTGATCTCTGACTCCCTAACCTGCAAAATAGCGAGCAACACAATTCTGTTGTTTATAAAGTATCCACTTTAAGGTTTTGTTATTGCAACCCAAAAACAATTGAGCTAAGAAGTAAAAGCATTATGTCCACAAAACGATTGTCTGTAAAGTTTATAGCAGCTTTTAAAGTTTATAGCAGCTTTATTCCTAATATCCCCAAACTAAAGATAACCCAAGCACCCATCAAGAGAATGGATTAAAATAAACTATGGCAAATTAATACCATAAAGTACTATTTTGCAATAAAAAAGGAATGAATGAATCATACACACATTAACAATAAAATAAAAATATTACACTCGGCAAAATGATTTCACTTATAAACAATTTCAAAATAGGCAAAACTAATCTATAATGATAGAAATCAAACCAGTGGTTGCCAGGAATATGAGGCATAGAATTTAAAGGCAGGCAGAAGAACTCTGTGATGACACAAATGTTCTATATTTGACTAGGCTATAGTTACATGAGTGTACACATTTATTAAGACCCACTGAACTGTATAGGGAACTTCAAAAAGTTGATGAAAAAGTAGAATTAAAGTTCATTTTTGGTGTGAAAAGATCTCGAAATCCATGTAGTTACTTCATACTATGGAGTTTTTTCATAACATGCACTTTTTGTGAATGTTTCAAAGCCTTCTTATACACTTTAAAAAGGTGCATTTTTGTATAAAAAGTCTCAATAACATTGATTTTTTAAATGGCCAATTTTTATGAAGATAAATTTACAAGTAAAATTAAAGACTAAAATTAGCATTTGAAAAACTCTTAAGAGATTTACGATAATAAAAGATTAGTTTTTATTTGTGAAGAGAAAAAAGAATAGCCATATTCTCTGTTGAAAGAATAAGCATTAAGAATTCTAAGAGACTAAACTGTTACAACCTTTGGTGGGCAATCTAACATTGCATATCAACAGATTTAAATGTAAGTCCTTTAAACTAGTAACAATGTTTCTAGGGATTTGTCCTAAATAAGTTATTCTGGATAGTCTCAAATTTCATACAAAGTTATCTTCTGAAATGAAAATAGTTAAAGCAAAAAGAAGAAAAGCAGGTAAACAAAAAAAAAGCCTGTTAGAGGATATATTTCTAATTGGTGTTACAACAAACATTGTAGAGTGTTTCTTTGTGTGTACATTGCTATATTTCTAATTAGAAGAGCTTTAGAGCAGAGTATTAGAATCGCTGAACAGCAAGAGTAAATTTACAACTCTTGATACACAGACTATGCTGCATTCTAATTACCTGATATAAGTGACTGTCCCATCCCATTATTATGAGCATAAATCTTATACTCTCCCTATTTTTTTCCAAGAACACCCTCCTCATAATATACATTCAACTTCTCCTAATTATTCCATATAGATATGCCATGGCAATACATCAAATTCAACAATGTTTTTCCACCTAAACCTACTTCTTTACCCTATTTGTTTGGTTGATGATGCCTAAGCATTCATGACAGAAACCCTAAAATGATTCTTGATCTTTCTCCCTTCCTCCTAAAATACAAATATGACCCGTTTTCTACCTATCTTACCTTCTCTTTACCATTCTAATCTTTGCACACAGTCTTCCACACTTCAACTCACCGTTCCCTCTTTCATAGACTAGTGCAATAGTCTCAAAAACTGTTTTGTTTTCACAATGACGACTAACTCCACACGCATACAATTGAAATGATCCTGCTGACATATCCAACCAACTGCTATTCTTTCTTTCTTTTGTTTGTTTGTTTTTCTTTTTTTGAGAGGTTTTTGCTATAGGGCGCATGTGCTCACCAGAAAGAGAGAGAGAAAGCAAGAAATTACCCCCAAGGGGAGACGGCCACATCGCAATCCCTTCTCCTCCATTCTCCTCTTGGGATCTTGAGCACACACGCACACCCACCCGGCATGAGTTTAAGCCACCAGGTCCACAACTCGAACCATGGTCGGCTACATGGGAGTTCAGCGACATAGCCATTATACCAACTGCTAGTCCCTCTTTTTTAAATTCCTGATTTCCTCATATTTTCCTTTACTTGAAACTCTTTAGTATGGCATACAAAGTCCTAAACAATATAGTACCTGCCTGCCTCTCCTGTTTCAACCTGAGTCACATGCTCAGTTCACACCTTCATTAAAACCGTAATGAACTCATATTCTCCTGGATTTACCCACAGATGTGCTTTAGAAGTTATCATGGAAGAATAAGGGATAGGGCAAGTGGGTTCCATCTGTGCTTCAATAAATTCCACCAATGCTTCAACAAGAACAGACCATCTTTTCTCTCTTTTCCATTTCTAGATTAAGTGTAAATTTGAAAAAGGGGTCCTGATTTTTTAAATTCCTGGACTAGATGAACAAGGTACCTTCCATTTGCTTTACCTGGACTAGATGAACAAGGTACCTTCCATTTTCATTAAGTGAGTAAGTGAGTGAGAGAGAGAGAGTGTGTGTGTGAGTATAATTCCCAAAACAACCCTGAGTAGTTATTAATATCCTTATTTTACAGAGAAAGAAAGCTGAAAAGGCTTAGAAGTTAAATTATTCGTCAGATCAAAAGCTAATAATTGCTAAAACTAGGATTTCTAGCCAATTCTTATTCCAAAGTATGATCTCACTGCACTAGGCCAGAGAAGGCAAATGGATTACACTCATGTCAAATCCTATTTACAGGGAGTAACTGGCAGCATTTATTCTGGGAAACACTCTGGCACTATTCTGGAACTTGGATGCAAAAGATTTTGAACAATTAATAATGTGCCATGAGTGTAGGAGCACCCAGACACAAGCTTCATTTTTGTCATTTTTAAAGGGGATCACACTGTTCCTGGTTACCTTTCCATGGCTTCAAATCTCATGCCTGTTAATCGCTTGACTCTGTGACTTCCAGGGAACTGTCTTCTTAACTCCTGAAGACAAAACTAAAAACATAATTGATAAAAGACTTGAAGAGAAGTAATTACATTATTTCATAAGCTATTAGGCATAGCCTATAGTATTCAATATACTTCTTAAACTTCCTTTAGTGTCATCTAGTAACATGGAGTGAAATTAATCAGTAATGAATAGTGGGGTGAAAGAACTATGAAATTATAGTAAAGGTAACAATCACTTTTCAGAAACTGATCAAACTCTTAGATAGAACAATGAGATTTGTTAATTACTCTTTAAATACAATAATCATATTATCCATCTTTTAAAATTGCTTTCATAATGAGCCAGGCCCCTACATAGATGCCAATGACAGGTTCTTTTTCTTTCCAATTACAGCATAAGCATTCTACTGGTAAGAATTAAGTTCTTTGGTAATCATCTCAAGTTCTCAGCAAATAATATTAATACTTTGATTAGTTCTGTCCAGTTGAAATCAGGTATTAATTAGCTATCTTTTCAATCAACAAATTCTGATTTGGGGTCAGAAAATACATGCACCAAGCCTACTGAGCACCATAACATTTGCTATTAGGATACATGTGGTCACCATAAAAACACAGACAGAGAGACAGAAAGCAAGAAATCATGCCCTAGGGAGATGGTCACACTGCAGTCCCTTCTTCTCCATTCTCCTCTTGGGATTTTGGGCATGCATACAAACGTGCCCAGTGTGAGTTTTAAACTGCTGGGTCTGGGATTCAAACTGCAGTCAGTGACCACTATGTCACCTCTAGCCCCAAGTAACAATATCCTTTAGAAAGGTATCCATAATCCACACATTAACTTGACTAAATACATAATCAATATGCATGTTCTCAGTAACATATGAGGGAATATGAATCTTAAAAGTGCTAGACGTGTCATTCAAGCTCCCTAACTAAAGGATAAGTGATCAAAAAACAAAAAAAGTCTTTAACTAGCAAAGAAACAATTAAGTAATAATAAAATAAGTTTTAATATGACCTAGACGTATAACTTCCAGCCACACCAAAAGAAAAAAACTTCAAGTTAGTCAAAGAGAAGATTTGTTCATTTATTTCACTGACATCATGAAAAATTTATAATATTTGGCCAATCAAGCTAAATGAAAGGAAAACCTAAAACATTTCCAAAAATACTGCATAATAAAAAAAAAGTTATTGGCTAATGTGTTCTCCTGCAGAACCTTTTAATATGATCTGATCTGACCTCCAACTTCATTAAAAGGTATTTGGCTATCTTTCTTTTTTAAAAAAAAAAATTACCAGAGGGCATGAATGCTTGCCAGAAACAGAGACAGAGAAAGGAAGAAAGAACCCCACAATGGGGTGTGGACATCACAATCCCTTCTCTACTTCCCTGTCCTTTCAGGATTTGGGGCATGCACATACATGTACCTTACGTGTTTTTCAAGCTGCCAGACCTGGGATTCAAATCACATGGGATTTGGCTCACTTAACAACTAAGCTATAGAGCCAGGTCACTATTTGTTTAAAAAAAAAAAAAAAACTAAATTTTTCTCAAAATCTAAGTGTTGCCTCTTTAGATATTCAAGAGATTATGTCTCATAGGTTCTGAAGGTAATCCAAACAGGTTTTGTGGAGTATTTTTACACTGACAACTCAACTGGAATTATGTATACAGTCAATCCAAGGTGATGACCCAGTAAGGACAAGTGCTAATTCATATATGATGTACTCCTGTATTTGTAACTTTTTGTTTTTGTGTATTTCCTTTTGGCTTAAATGAGGCTACAACATGTAGAAGTACATAAGAATTCAGGATGATAGGAACAATATTTATAACATGAATATAAAGATAACATCAAACAAAAATCATGTAATAAATAATTGTGGAGGCTGACAGGAGGCAAGGTGGTTAAGATGCTGGACTCCCATATGATTGACTGTGGTTCAAGTCCCAGACCTGGTGGCTTGTTTTCTCACTCCCCTCACTTCTAGTCAAATTAAAATAATAATAATAATAATAATAAAATTAAATAATTCTTTAAAAATAAATAAATTGTGAAGACTAATTAAAAGCATGATGAGGGTAGCTGGTGGTATTGTAGTTAAGACATTTGTATCCCACATGGCAGGGTGCACAGCTCGAGTCTCAACCTGGAAGCCGGGAAAAAGACATGGGGGGCATGTGCAAGTGTGCCCAAAATTCTAAGAAGAGAATGAAGGAGAAGGTACCACAACATGGTCACCGCTTTGGGGGATATTTTCTCAATTCCCCTGTGTGTCTCTCTCTCTTTATCTCTACCTCTCTCTAGCAGGCATCTACCCTGTGGCAAAAAAAAAACCAAAAAAAACAGAAAAAAAAAAACTGTGGTGTAATGCATTTAGCTCAATGCCTGGCACATGAGAGTTCAAATTTATTAGTGTTTTAAGTCATGTCCTGAATATCTCAGGATTTTATGATAATTTAAGATATACATATTTACAATATTGCTTAACTTATTTAACACCATGTATATACTAAGGAAGTCATTCAACAACACAAGAGATAAACTTGTTTTTATTATGTTCCTTATTTAAAATTCTGTAGCAGCATAATTTACCTATTAAGAAAAAAACTTTTACAACTAATTGAACCTCTTTCATAAAACTGAAATATTAAAAATTATCATGTGCAGTATAATGATGTTTCAGTCAACAATGGACCATATATAACATGGTGACCCCATAAGGTACATAAAAGCTATACCATGTAGTCAAGAGTTTTACTAGGCTATGCCATCTAAGTTTGTGTAAGTATATGCTATGATGTTCACACAATGATAAACTACTTAATGATGCATTTCTCAAAACCTAACGCAGTCATTAAGCAACACATTATTGCATCTACTTTTCAAGATTACTGAAAAGATTTAATAAGATGCTGTGTGCCAAAGTATCTAGTAATCTCACTTACTATTAAAAGTAGCATTCAAAACTATGTCTAGGAGGGACCAGCAGTTAGTGTAATGGCTATGTCGCTGGACTCCCAAGTAGTTGACCGTGGTTCAAGTCCCGGACCCGGTGGCTTAAACTCACGCTGGGCGCGTGTGCATGCGTGCCCAAGATCCTGAGAGGAGAATGGAGGAGAAGGGACTGCAGCATGGCCATCCCCCCAGGGGGTGATTTCTCGTTTTCTGTCTGTCTGTCTGGCGAGCGCACGCGCCCTATAGCAAAAAACCTCTCCAAAAAAAAAAAGAAAAAGGAAAAAGAAAAAGAAAACTATGTATAGGAAACATACAACACAAACCATTCACTAAGTCTTAACTACTTATATATAATTTATGAAGTGAATTAAGATATACTTAGTTTCAATACCTACCAATGCCAAATCATCCCGACCATAGTCTAAGGCTGCAATCATCACCTGTTCATATATGATCCAAACTAGATATTTAAAAAGAAAAAAGCTTAATTTAATATAAAAATCCCCTACATAAAAATTAGATTAATGAATTATTCTAGTTTGTGTTATTAAGTACATTACTTATAACCAACAACTGATTCATTCTATTATTTCTCAAGTTAAGGAAAAAAGTATCCTTATATGCTTTTGGCAATGAACAATAAAGTAAAAATCTCAACTATATTAATTACATTAACTGTTCTATAATATTCTTTATAAAATACATTTTGTGATATTTGTTAGCCTTGTGAACTTTACAAAAAAAAATTTTTATTTGATAGCTTCACTCCTACCAACAATTATAAATACGTCTCAAAATAAAGTATGATTAATTTTCTTGAGACAAAAAGTCACAAATAAGATTGATGAACAATAGGGAAAACTAAAATGGAAAGAGTTTAAAATAAACAATAAAGAACCATAAATGAGACATGGGTTGAGCCTGAATGTAATGAATTAATGAAAGTACTTACTATCATCTCCAAGTTTAGATGCATATTCATTAATTAATTCTTCCCCCACTTCTACAATTTGCTCACTATTGCGTGAGTTTTCTTCTCTCCATTTTCTCATTTTATCTCGCATTTCTGAAAAAGGTAAGCATGTTATTCACGTGTATATTATATTCAAATAACAATATCTAATAAACATCAAAAAATTGAAAAGGTGAGAGACCAGCAGTTGGCGTAATGGCTATGTAGCTAGACTCCTATGTAGTTGACTGCAGTTTGAGTCTCGGACTGGGAGGCTTAAACTCATGCCAAGCACTTATGCATACATGCCCAAGATTCCGAGAAGAGAATGGAGACGGGACTTGGTGTGGCCATTCCCTTTGGGGGGTGATTTCTTGCCTTCTGTTTCTCTGTCTCTCTCTCTGTCTTTCTGGCAAGCACACGTACCCTACAGCAAAAACTTCTCAAAAAAAAAAAAAAATTGACAGTATGAAATTAACTTTTTTAGGTAAAGAAAATAAACTTACACTAATGTAGAACTGGTATCTCAAAGTTGGAAAAGCAGAACATCTCAAAATATGCAAAGTATACCTGAAGTTCACTTACTGACCCAAGAATGTTACCATAATCAGGGTTATCATATTAGGCTCTCAGCACTGAAGGGATATTCATCACTAAACTTTCTTAGTAACAACATTACTTTAAAGGTGCACATAGTGGGGGAAAAAATGCACTGCTATGCAAGGAAATAAATAGCAAAAACATTAGAATAAAGAAAATCTTTTGGAACTAGCAAGTGGTGCAAGGCTTATGTCACTGGACTCCCACGTAGTTGACTGCAGATCAAGTCTCAGACCCAACGGCTTAAAACTCAGGCTGGGTCCATGATCCTGAGAATGCCCAGGATGCAGGAGAATGGAGGAAAAGGGATAGTGGTACGGCCAAACTCCCTAGGGGGTGAGTTCTTGCTTTATGTCTCTCAGGCGAGCACACGTGCCCTATAGCAAAAATCTCTCTAAAATTTTTTTTATTATATTTACAATAAAGGCATAATATAAGAATCATGTAAATTAACATCAAATGCACAAACAAGAACTAAGAGAATACTTTTGTTTATTATAATACAAAGGGAATTCTGTAAGTTTTTTTTTTTTGGTAAGTTTTAAGTAACACTGATAACAGCAAAAATAACAAATATCTAATACAGTCTTTTTTTGATATAATAAATGGACTGAATATTTATGTTTTCCCCCTCAAATTCACACATTGAAATCCTCATGTATTATTATTAGGAAGTGAGGGTCTTCAGGAGATAATACAGTCATGAGGTTAGAGCCCTTATGAATGGGATTAGCGCCTTCATAAAAAGAGTTTGCTTTTCTGTCTGCTCTCCACGAGGAGAGAAGTGGGCACTGGCAAATAAAAAGAGGGCCCTCTCTAGACAACAGATCTGCCAGCACCTCATTCTCAGGTTTTCTAGCCTCCAGAACTAGTGGAGTCAATCTTTTTGTTCAAGACACCCTTGGTATGGTATAATTATTACAACATCCTAAAGAAAGACACAGAAAAGAAAATTGTCCAATTCACCACATTATGTTTCCTCTTATGATATATGAAGTAAGCAAAATGACCAAAGGACATTTTTAAGAAAGTTTAGGGCAAAATGGTATAAACAATGGTAGAGGCATTAAAGTAGATGATGTCTTCAGAATTGGGAAAATTTTCAAGTGATCAAGATTGGAGGAGAGGGAGGGAACCAGCAGTTAGCGTAATGGCTATGTCGCTGGACTCTCACGTAGTCGACCACGGTTCGCATCCTGGACCTGGTGGCTTAAAACTCACGCCGGGCATGTGTGCGTGCGTGCCCAAGATCCCAAGAGGAGAATGGAGGAGAAGGGATTGCGGCGTGACCATCCCCCCTGGAGGGGTGATTTCTTGCTTTCTGTCTCTATGTCTCTGTCTATCTGGCGAACGCATGCGCCCTATAGTGAAAATCTCTCCAAAAAAAAAGATTGGAGGAGAGGGAGAAAAGACAGGCACATCAGTTGCTTTTGAGCCACTGCACAATGAAACACAGGTTAATTCTCCATTGATGGTAACCTAAGCAAGAAGAAAACACATTTTGGAGTACAAAGATTACTCCCAGGACCACAAATAAAAACCTGAAGGATTACCCACAAGAGGAGAATATCAAGAGAGGAAAGCACTTTTTCTAAAGAATAAATGGGGAAAGCAAAAATCTCTTTCTAACTGTCTATATTCTGAAAGAAGAAACAAATTGAGTATAATATGTACTTGAAGGTATTTTTTTTAAGGTGTGCTCACCAGAGACAGAGACAGAGAGAGAGAAAGTGAGAAATCATCCCCCAGAGGAATGAATGGTCACACCACAATCCTTTCTCCTCTATTCTCCGCTCATGATTTTGGGTGCACAGAAACATACACTGTGATTTTTCAAGCCATTGGGTCTGGGACTGGGAAAGCAATTGAACATGTGGGAGCTCAGAGCCTTACCACTATACTATCTACTGGCTCCTCAAGGTATCTTTTTAAGTAAGGAATAAAAGTAAAAATGTTACCTATATATTTTTATGCCTCCTTAAAAGAAATTTTTGGAAAAAAAAAAAAAAGAAAGAAATTTTTGAAGTGTTACAAACACTTCAGGTTTTCCCCACAACTGTCATTTACCCAAAGCCACTGCACAATGAAACACAGGTTAATTCTCCATTGATGGTAACCTAAGCAAGAAGAAAACACATTTTGGAGTACAAAGATTACTCCCAGGACCACAAATAAAAACCTGAAGGATTACCCACAAGAGGAGAATATCAAGAGAGGAAAGCACTTTTTCTAAAGAATAAATGGGGAAAGCAAAAATCTCTTTCTAACTGTCTATATTCTGAAAGAAGAAACAAATTGAGTATAATATGTACTTGAAGGTATTTTTTTTAAGGTGTGCTCACCAGAGACAGAGACAGAGAGAGAGAAAGTGAGAAATCATCCCCCAGAGGAATGAATGGTCACACCACAATCCTTTCTCCTCTATTCTCCGCTCATGATTTTGGGTGCACAGAAACATACACTGTGATTTTTCAAGCCATTGGGTCTGGGACTGGGAAAGCAATTGAACATGTGGGAGCTCAGAGCCTTACCACTATACTATCTACTGGCTCCTCAAGGTATCTTTTTAAGTAAGGAATAAAAGTAAAAATGTTACCTATATATTTTTATGCCTCCTTAAAAGAAATTTTTGGAAAAAAAAAAAAAAGAAAGAAATTTTTGAAGTGTTACAAACACTTCAGGTTTTCCCCACAACTGTCATTTACCCAAAGATTTTCCAAATTTTCCATGTTTACATTTTTATTTTCTTTCTCTAGTTTTCCCTTTTACCCAACATTAAGAAGTAGTATGTAGAAAGAAAGAGTGGAGATGTCAAACTCAAACTGCTTGAGTTCAAATTCAAGCTCTCTCTGGCTTTGTCATATTTACTGAGCTAATGACTTCAAACTTTAATGTTCTCATCTAAAAAAAAAAAAAAAAAGGGGGGGACATGGAAATAATACCTATAGTGTATGGTTGTTGTGGTTAGATCATTGATTTACTTGTTTAAAACAGAACCTGGTACAACATATACTCAAAAAATTGTAACTATAATCAATATTCTACTTTCTATTTCATCCTATTTTCATGTATAGTTTACTTTTGGTTTCCAAACAAATCTTTCTGAAGTTTTTCCCAAGTCAATGGTGCACCCTATAAATACAAATGCTACTTGTCTTTCTGTAATCCTACCATCTCTTGTCTTTGCTCATCATACTGCATTAAGAGTGTGGACTTAAAACAGGAACCAATAAACTATAGGCTATTCAGTTACCTGTTTGTAAACAGTTTTAGCAGAACATATTTATCCCTAATTCTTTATGCTAGGTCTACAGCTGCTTCTGTGCTATAACAGTCGAGAAATTTCGCATAAAAAGCTATAAATATTTACTAGTTCTTTATCATAACGAAACAAAACAAAAAACAAACACACATACACACACACACACACACACACATATACAGAAACCAGGTGATAGAATGGTTGTCGCTGAACGCCAACATGGCCAACCAAGGTTCGAGTCCTGGACCCTGATGCTTCAAACTCAGGCCAGGGGCATGAGCATGCATGTACAAAATCTGGAGAAGAAAATGGCAGTGAAGGAACTGTGGTGTGGCCATTTTCCCTGAGGATGATTTCTCGCTTTCTGTCTCTGTCTCTGGCGAATGTACATGCCATTTAACAAAAATCTCTCATAAAAAAAATCATACATGCATACAAACACCTCTACCCCTGACTTTCTAAGTATAAAGTGGCAGAAAAGGCACAAGACCTAAAGGTAGAGGACCACAGTTCAAATTCCAATTCTGTCACTAGTCAGAATAATCTTGAACCTGTCACTTAACATTTCTAGCCTGGGGACCAGTGGTTGGTGTAATGGCTATGTTGCTGGACTCCCATGTAGTTGACCATGGTTCAAGTCCCAGACCAGGTGGCTTAAACTCACGTTGGGCGTGTGCAGGTGCATGCCCAAGATCCCGAGAGGAGAATGAAGGAGAAGGGATTGCGGGGTGGTCAGCCCCAGGGGGGTGATTTCTTGCTTTCTGTATCTTTGTCTCACTCTGTCTTTCTGGCAAGCATTCATGCCCTATAGCAAAAACCTCTTGGAAAAAAAAAAAAAAAAAGTCTAGCCTGAACTATAAAATATAGATCAGAAACCTACCTTACAGGTTCTGGTAAAAATTATATAAAGCAACATTTGGACTCCTCAGATCTTGCTTGGACAGGTAAACGGTTTGGGATTTTATGTTTATTTTACATTGATTTAGAGTACCATTAAATAGGGTAAGAACTCACCAGTTATTGGGAAAAAAAAAAACTCACCAGTTCTTGGTATATACCATTACTGTCTTTCACCCAACTTTATACATTTTTCTCATCTGGTTGGTCCTTGAATTTAGGTCTCCTAATGTTAGACTATTATGTAAAGTACTTTATAAGATATAAAGGGCTATAAAATTTTTGATTACCTTTATTTCAAGGAAAATAACTCCTTCAGCATCTGGCAAAAATGAAGGCTCCTCTCTCACTCCTTCCTCAAAGACAGCTTAAAACTTCATTTTTTCTTAAGTCTCCCAGAAAGGGCACGCTCCTCAAACCAAGGTTTTATTACACACTGTAGAAGCAAACTGCTCACTGCTTGCCTGCACATTTTATTACGGACTGGGCAAGTCCTTTGAGATAAGGGAAGTGGCTCTGATTATTCTGTTTATAATTTCCTTGAGGTCTAGGTGTCACTATTGTAAGACAGTTGGCCTCTATAACAAGGAAAAACATGCCTCACTCTTCTGATTCCTTTCATCTAAAACTCCTTCCTCTAATCCTGTTTACCACTTCATTTTACTATATATTTTGAAATATCATTCACAGACTTATTTATATGAACCATCATAGTTTTTTTTTTAATTATTCATTTAATTTTATTTATTATTATGATTAACTTGACCAGAGAGACACAGAGAGAGAGGAAGGAAAGAGAGTAAGCAAGCTGCTAGGTCTGGGACTCAAATCAGAGTCAGCCATGTGGAAGTCCAGCACCTTAACCACCATGCCACCTGCTGGCCCCAAACTATCACAGTTTTTTAAAAGATTAATGATGCAGGAACACATGGGCAGGGGGTGATCCATTTATTTTTTTAAGTTTGAAGTGGGTACCAAGGTTAGGAGATTTTTTTGTCTTAAAGCTTTAGGTCATAAAAACCATTATTATTATTATCTTTTTTAATGTAGTGAGGCCTAAAAAAAGCCTTTAGTTTAGGTCTAAATCATGTTGTCTAGGTCAATTATTGAGTCACCACTGCCTCCATCTTAAAATTTAGCCATTTTGTAGTTTTATTTTAGGTCCATACCCTAACTGTATTTTTAGGGTCCCTGTCTCCTCCCTCATTAATACACATGAGATTATAAATTTAAAATTATTCTTAGTCTCAGGCCAGGTACATGTGCATGCATGCGTGCCCAAGCTCCGGAAAGGCGAATGGAGAAGAGACTGAGGTCTGGCCATCCCCCTGTGAGTGATTTCTCACTTTCTGTTTGTCTTAGTCTCTCTAGTGAACACATGCAACCCTAAGGAAAAAAAAGAGACAGAGAAATAGGAACTAGAGACAGACAGTGAACATAAGCATCTAAAGATTCTCTCACACATTTCCAGTAAGTAGTTTTTTTCAACAAATACTCAGCACACCAGCCAGGCATCCTACCCATGTCCTGTCCAAATGCCAGTCTCAAGAAACTTGACTATACTCAAGTCTTACAGCTCTAAAGTCCCTATCCCACCTCCTAACACCTAAGTAGTAACCCTTCTTATGTAAACATCAATTGTTAACCGGCTGAATAAATCATATTTTCCACTTTTTAAATACAGCCTAATAAAGAGTTGGAGAATGTCAGATTTACTATACAGGTCTTTTATAAACATGTGATAAGTTTCTTATCACAAGAATTACAATACTCTTTGAACTAACCAATTCATGAGACTATTCAACAGAATTCCTAAGGATACAATTCTGACACCCTGCCCTCCAGAATCTAACCCAAAAAATGCTATCCTAAGAATCTTTCCACGACCTTCCTACACCCTAAATAACTGTTATGGTAACAGTCTCCCAAATAAAAATACTCTTCTCTTTACAAGTCCCTTAAAATAGAATTTTAATTCTAGAAACCTCTAAACCTACAATTTACAAATGAGTAAATTATATTTAGGTGTTAAGTGAGTTGACTAAATTCATTTAAGATATTAAAGATTAATTCCAACCCTAGAAAAAAATTCACAATCTTTTTTTAATAATGTTTATTATTAATCGCACTACCAATTAATTTAGTCAACAAATTATTACTGGGTTTCTCCCATGTATCAGACAATAATGATGCAACAATGAACAAAAGAGGCAAGGACCTCTTTTGTTCTAGAAGCCAAAATGTCAAAAATTAACACAGCTGGGTTAGTACTTCAGTAGTATAAGAACAATTAAGTGAAGGACCAACAGTAGGTTTGGCCCTAATATAAGAGGGAGCAGGACAAATACATATTAAGCAAACTCAACAAGGGGCAAATAATCATTTAAGGGATTCAACAAAGACCAGCACAGCCAGCTAACAGACTGAGAGTGAAAATGGCGCAAGATAAAGGAGACAGGGACAAGAGCCAGATCATACAGGGGAAGGATATAATCATATTAATAACTAATAACAACAGATCCTTTTATGTAACACTTAAGTGTTTACAAAGCACTTTGACATGTTTTCTCTTTTGTTCAACAAACCAGTAAAGTAGCTATTCACTACATTATTCCAAACCTAATTATATCATTCCTATATAGAAGGCCAAGAATAAGGTCCAAGGGACCTAATTAAATCACCTTGTCTGCTGGTAGCTACACATCTGCTGGTTCCTCAAAATTCTGTATGTTCCACTACCATCTAAAGAACTAATATTGAACACTGTTTCATAAACAGTACTTTCTAAAAACCATGCAATATTTAAGATTTTATAAAGCATTTTTTAAATGCCACATATCTACTACCCAGCTTAAAGAATATACCCTGTCACAAGCCTTTTAAAACCACGTACAGTATTTGTAGTTTTGTCTTCTCTAAGACTGTGAATTCCTTGAAGGCAGCTACTTGATAAATATATGGTCTAAAATTGTAACTTAGTACTTTGGTATAATATATGGATTCCCCCCATTACAGGTAGAAGTACACTGTGTGTCAGAGGCTACATTGCCAATACAACACCGAACTCAGTTCAAGTATAAGGAACTTTGCCTTTTCTTATACGTCTGCAACTATATAATACTCAAGAAACTGATTCAAAACAGTAAATTTAACAAATCAAATCTACTGTATTATGCTAAATGTCGGGAATGTAAATTTTACATTTTACACAAATCCCATGCCTTCAAGAAACTCGTTTTTTTGTTTTGTTTTGTTTTGTTTTTTTAAGCATGCCTCCCACTAAAGTTCTTATGAGAAAAATTTCTCACAGAATTGATTTGGAGTTTGGCTGCTTCCAGATTTAAAGAACACACTCTACCCTAGTGCCGATGTGCCTTTGGGTTTACCCAGTTATTTTCTCCTTTAGAAAGGAAAACTGATAGGCGGGGAGCGTTGTGTTTTGTGGGCCAATAGATTCAAGGAATGGGACAGATAATACATTAAAAAGGGAGAAATTAGAAATCCAATTCTGAAGAAAGAAAAAAAAGGGAAGTGGCATGTGGGAAAATCAGATTTGTTCACGAACCTTCTGAAACACATCTTTTTTCAACAGAGCTGTAACCCTTACACAGTACTTAGTGCAAGGCCTGACAGGCCCTGTAAGTCTTGGCTCCAAAGAACCTTCAGTAACCCCCTAGCCGCCACGCCGCCCAGCAACCACAGAAGTGTGAGAGCCCCAGCCTCAGGTCCTTCCCGCCTCGTCAATGAAGGCGCCGCGGGCAGCCGGACTAGAGCGGAGGTGGGTCGGGAGGTAGTCTATCGAGGAACGCCACGCTGTAGGGGGGCGGGCTGAGAATGGGGTCAGCCTCAACCTCCACCTCAGCTTGGTCCGATCTAGCTCCCGTGCCGTAGAGCCCGGAGACCGGAAGAAGCCAGCTCTCCAAAGACAGCGGCTACACCCGAACCGCTTCCCAGTACTCCTGGTCCTTCCGAACGCGCCCCTCCCGATGTTACCTTCCCAAGTGACATCGTAAAGCTCTGAGACCTTCGCCATCTTCCTAGAACCCAGAGGCAGCGGGGTGAGAGGGCGGGGAAATGCGGTCACGTGACCTACGACCGGCAGAGGCGAGTTGCGAGGCCGTCTCTAATTGGCCTAGAGAGCGGAGTGGGCGGTACCCGCCGCGCACGTGCACACGGTTCTACTAAGGGACTGTGGGAGAAAGGGGCGGAACTAGCTGGGCCGGTCTTGGCCCACTGCGGGTCTGAGGAAGGCCGGGGCGGAGCTTCGGAGCCGGTTCCGGGTGAGGTGTCTGTTTTATGGTGGATTTTTAACAGATGCTGGGGTGTTATTTATTAAGTTTCTTCGCCTCACCAACGAATACCTTATTCACTGCGTGAATACAATACTACGTTCTGCCCTTATACCTTTCCTTCTCAACTAATAGGATTCGCATTTCGTTTAGTTTTTTATGTTCGAGTAAAAAACTGTAAATTTTCATTTAATCTTTTTAGGGAACCAAATGGGATTCTTCCCTTGCGCTTTGTGTTCCTCTGGACGAGGACTTAATAATGTTCGCCTGAATGACCTCGTATCAGCCTGTGCTCTTACTTAATTCTCAAGCGTGCATAAAATGATTCCTGTCTCTTGCAACTCAGTAGGAGCAGCCAATGTGTAAGTGCTTATGAATAATGAATATAGGAATGAGATTTTCCACAGCGCCTAAATTTTCTTCCCCCTGATTATTCTTGGGGCTGGTTTCCTTCCCTCTCACCTTTTCTCACAAGATTAGTTGTTTCCAGGAAACATTAGACCTAAAAGCTAAGGAAAAAAATACCTGGACTGCAAGCTCAAAATTCCAAACTCCTAAGTCTGTATATGTTGTAGTATTTGAAATAACGAGAAAACGAGATTGTAGAGAGGAAGAATGTGAAGTGAGGAAAAAGGCTAAAAGTCTAGGTAAAACAGACTGAGGTAGGGGTTAGTGAAGAAGAAGCAATCAGGATTTGAGGAAAAAACAGAAAAAGTTGTAACCCCAAGATTGACAGAGTAGAAGTTTTCTAAAATTATGTTTTCCATTTTTAATGAGGTGTAATTGACAAATAAAAATAGTATATATTTAAAATGTACAGACATGATAATTTGATATAAATATATGTTGTGAAATGATTACCACAATCATTAACACACCCATCACCTTACATAGTTACCCTGTGTGTATATGTGTTGTGAGAACACTTGATACCTATTCTCAGAAATTTCAAATATGCAATACAGTATTATTAATTGTATTCCCCATGCTATACATTAGATCCCCAGAATGTATTCATCTTCTAACTGAAAGTTTATACCCTTTACTTATTTATTTTTTCTTTTTTTGGAGAGGTTTTTGCTATAGCCAGAGAGACAGAAAGCGAGAAATCACCCCCCCCCCCAGATGGGATGGCCACGCCACAATCCCTTCTCCTCCATTCTCCTCTCGGGATCTTGGGCACACACGCACACGCGCCCGGCGTGAGTTTTAAGCCATCAGGTCTGGGATACGAACCGCGGTCGACTATGTGGGAGTCCAGCAACATAGCCATTATGCTAACTGCTGGTCTCAACACACCATTTCTTGCCTGGATGACTATGGCACTCTGTTAACCACCTTAGTTTGATACTAACTATAAAATACAAATTGTTTCAAATACAACAACCTTACTGGTAAAACAAACAAACAAACAAAAAAACAGACTACACAATTTCCTTGCTTAAAGCCCTCAAATGGCTCCTCATGACAATGAAAATACATTCCAAATGCTTTACCCTGGTTTAAAGGGCTTTATTCAATTTAGCTTTCATCTATCCCTCTAACTTCACCCTACTGTCCCATCTCTTTTAACTAGACCCAGTCATTCACTTCTACTTCTTACTTCTCAAACATGCCAAGCTCCTATTTGCCTTGTCTAGCATTTGCCCCGGTGTTCCTTTTCCCTAAAATTGTTTTCTTCAGATCCTTAAATGACCGTCTTCTTTTTATCATTCATGTCTCGGTTTTAAACTCATGTATTCAGAGAAGCATTCACTGACCAGCCAATAAAATGCAGCCTGTAGTTAATGCTTATAAGATCATCATGGTACTTAATCACTGTTTGATTTTTTTTTCTTTTTAATTTACTTTCTGTATTTTTCCGGTTACTGCTAAGTTTCTTGAGGGTACAGATTTTGTCATTTTAACCTTAGAACATACCTCCCAAAAGAATGTCTAGCACACACAGTAAATGTCCGTTAAGTGAATGAAAGAAGTAGATAAGTGACAGTTTTTATTAGTGATTACTAAGAATAACATTTTACAGCAGTACACATATGAACTCTATTGTTTCATTATGGATAGGATATTTTCTGTCTATAGTTGATCCTTTCCTAAAAATGATAAATCAATGGATGCAGGAACCAGGACAATTCATTGTTTTTAGCTTTATTTTCTTAATGGGGGAAGGCACCTTCAACATGATCTTAATGGCAGTCCTTCTCCCATCCATCCCGTTAGCCAGGTTCATGGGTGTATTTGTGTGCTTGGCATGTACACATAGACCCAGCCATGAACCCAGAGCCATCCCATATGGTCTCAAGCATTGCACTGAAGCATCTCTACTGCCACCTAATCATGACTGGACTTGCCAGTTCATTTTTATACCTTCCATCCCCTTATTGCAGAATATTAGATACAGAAGACATTTAATATTCACACTGAATTGTTGATCCCTAACATTTTGTACTTTTTGAGAGAGTTCTAAAGTTTCTAGGCATAGAAACTTCATGCCCAAGAAGGTGTCTTTTAAAGACTGGCCATAGATCTTAAAGATTATAACTAACTGGGACCAGCCACATAGTTGACTGCAGTTCAAGTCCTGAACCCAGTGACTTAAAACTCACGCTGGGCACATGTGCATGTGTACCCGAAATCCTAAGAGAAGAATGGAGGAGAAGGGATTGTGGCATGGCCATCCCCCTTGGTGCATGATTTCTCGCTTTCTGCCTCTCTATCTCTCCAGCAAGCGCATACACGCTATAGCAAAAATCTCTCTCTCTAAAAGAAAGATTTTAACTAATTGAGAGAAAATATATTGTCTCTTTTTTTTTTTTTTTCCAATTGCCAGAGGGCACATGTTCTTGCCAGAGAGAGCAAGAGAGAGGGGGAAATCACCCCACAATGGGAAGTGGTCACACCGCAATTCCTTCTCCTTTATTTCCCCATTCTGTCAGGATTTGGGGTATACGCACACATATGCCCTGAAGGTTTTTCAAGTTGCCAGGACCAGAACTCAACCATACAGTCAGCCACATGAGATCTGGCCTCACTTAGCAACTAGACCTGGAAAAAAATATTTTCTAGTAACTTCAACTAAATGTTCTTGAAGCTAGCTTATATGAAAGGCAATAAGCCATATGACAAAAGGTTAAAAGTAGTCATTTCTAGGATTTTCAAGCTTCAAAATAGAGTAATTTCATTTTAGAGTTAGGATGGACTTTTGATCCTTTAGACAAGATTTTTCTAACTTTTGTTCACCTCCAGTTCATATTAAGGAATACATTTTCTGTATCATACAGTGTGTGAGACACACAAAAAACCAGAACCAATATTTACAAACTGGCTTTACTGTGTGTCTTGTCTCTGTATTTTCTATTCAGGAATAATATGAATTACCCTGTGTTTCCTTTGAGAGCAAAAATTTTGATTTTTTTTTTTTAAGAGAGATTTTCCTTCCACACGGTCTCACCATGCCGTAATCCTTCTGCCCCAGCCTCCTGGTTACCAACTTCTGCACCTGGTATATTTAGATTGGTCTTGAATCCCAACCTGGGCATTCCATGCAGCTCCAGCATTGTGTAGCAAATCCTTGTTCTCTGTGTCACTGTTGCTGAGCCAAAGATTGATTATTTATCGAACCAGATTGGTTCTATTTTATGGTTTACTTAATTCAATTAATATCCTAAGACTGAAGCAGTTTCCTGAATTTAATAAACTTTCTGACATTTATAAAATGTACATTATTTAACAGAATAGTGCATAATACCATTTTAATTGATTTTATACTCTTCATCTTAATCAAATCATTTAGAACCCACTCTCTGCTTTTTTCTTGTCTTAATCATGGTGAATTAAAGTGTCCCACATTATGTAGCATAGTTTATAACCCCTGTTTACTATGACAATTATCCACTAAAGTAAATTAGTCCCATAACAATTCTCTTATAAAATTTACTATAGCCTTTAAATCATGTTATTGTTTCTAATTAGTTGATCATAACCATAATCCCCTTTTCTTCAGAGAAAATATTACTCATTTAATCTTTATTTCATGTCAACAGGTTTTCACTGTTATGTCATATTTGGAAGGAAATTTTCCTTAGAGTTTTATTTACCAAAAGCCAGATTAATATGAAATTGTTTTAGAAATCTACTGAACATTGTTTTAATTTTTAGAAGATTATGTAATTCAATATGTCCCCCAAAACCCAAGAGGCTATGCCCCCTTTGTTTGTGCAACCATATGGCATTTAGGCACTGCTGGTTTTTCCAAGTTTGCTGTCATTTGTAATATACATGTTTTTAAAATGTGCCAGCCATTTATTTCATATCCAATTATATTATTTTAGAAAGCCAAGGAGAGTCTCTGGGAAACATTCCTAGTGAGATCACTTAAGTCCTTCGACAGTAGAATTCACAAACTGATAATTACCCCTCTGTGCCATAGTTGTTACAGTAAAGAAGAAAGTACATCCAGAATGAGTACACCCAGAATTCCTCCCCTGTGTACAATAAATTAGAGCTGTTTCTTTTCAAGATTTATAACCATACTTAAGAGTCAGCTTTTTTGAACGAACCTGTATTTAATTTCCCCAAAGTGCATATTCTGTTATAATGCAAATATACATCTGTATAAATGTAACAGTACTTGTGTAAAAAATGGATTTTCATAAATATCCCTTTTGAATACTAAATATTCAGAAGAACCTATTACTATGACCTGATGGTCCTTGGGGATCATCAAGACTCCATTTCTTACATTAGGACTGTAACAGAATTCTTTACTTGAAAAACGTTCAACAAGGTATTAGTTC